AGTTAATCAGGTACGGTACCAAACCTGCCAAAACTTCACAAAACCTGCTGTTGGAGTATGGCAGCTTTGAGGTAGTTAGGGTTAAGGCACCCTGCAAGAAAGTTTTAACAGTACACTGGTTCATGGAAACACATGTGAAAGCATCAACGTTGACACTGGTTTTGCAATAACAGGCAAATCAAATCAAAAAAGATTTCATGAGCCACCTGAAGCCCCACTTCTATCACAGTAAACTAATAACAAAGCCTCTACGGCTACAACTTCAGGAGAAAAAACAGGGACAAAGACAGCAATGGACAAGCCCTCACCTTGCATGCCTCTACCTCGACCCATCTGTGGAGGCATCGGCGGCATGGACGCTCCGGCCGGTCGAAAGTTGTAGTAATACTCCTGGGGTGGGAACTGGGGAGGGTGACCCATCGGTGGGATGACCGGTCGGGCAAAATCAATGTGGACACCGTCCTGGATGCATTGCCTCATGCGCTCCACCTTACCCACTTGGTCCATCTGGGTGGGGGGGGGGAATGAACAACCAAGAAAGGTGTGATCGTCATCACTGTGTCACTGTCAGTCGTCCAAGGTTGTCAGTAATTCATTTCAATGACCAATGTCACAGCCTGTGAATGGTTAAATGCACTGTAAAAACAGTGGCAAATGTTTTGCCTGACGCACGGGTTCTAGGTAAACTGCAATCAGATTACCAGGCCATGATTCTCATCTGAGAAAATCTTACTTAAACAACAACTTTAACAGTGTCCACTGGCAATGTCATAATTTGTCAATAAATGCCAATCGAAACGCCAGTGTAAAACTTGGATGCTAACTGATCAGTGCGGCAGAAGGTTAAACACCAAAGGTCAGCACCAACAAGATTAAAAAGTCAAAGATCATCGTCAACCAGATTAAAACAAATGTCAGAAGCCAGCACTAACCAGGATAACCAAACCGCCCTCACCTTGCCGTCACACAGGTCTCTCAGGTTGCTACCGCTCATGGCACGGTGTAGCTTGTACTGGAACAGTTTCCCATCAAAGTACAGCCAGGGGCAGCACAGCTCCCAGGGGATGGGGGCACCGCAGGCGTCGTTAGCCAACAGTGCTGCCTCCACGCCGCGCATGAAGATGGCAGCTAACTGTACACCACGGGCAGAGATGCTGGGAACCTGGACCAAACACAAATGGAAAATCACATAAAGGTTACAAAAACTCATGAAAAGAGTGCAGAAGTTACAGCCGTTACAATCAACTGGCAAGGAACTGGCATTCACAACATACACTGTTCAGTTCTAGAGACTACTTGGTTATCTTGGACCAAAAAGGGAAATATTAACAAATAAAGTCCCCTCTTGGAAAGACAAAAAGCTAGGCTGCAGAGTTCATAGGGGGTTAAAAATGCCTTATATATGGCACACACTAACCGATTTATTGGATGATGAAATAAACGACTGAAATAAAATAACGAATACATTAATTTACAGTCATTAATTTACTGAGAGAGAAAAATTTTAATTTTAAATTAATTTTAATTCTAATCAAGAAACGTCAATGTAACATGTGAATTTATCCGAGCGAATGACTATCTGACAAGTATTACGAGTGGCAGTTTGATGAGCTGACGGATTCAACTGAATACAATCGCTCACCCTGAGTTCCTGTAACGTCTGCGGTTGGTTGAGCGATGGTGAGACACTCTGAGCCAAGAAGGCATCTAACTCATGTCTCCTGAGAATAGGAGGACTGAAGTGGAGCATGTACCTACAAAAATCAGAAAAGAAAATCAGAGTTTTCCAAATGCAGCCAAAACAAAGTTGTTGACTACAACAAATACAAGTATTTGCAGACATTCATATGTTTTAGTTAATCCTTGAATCACCTTCACAAAAATCCATTCATTTGTTTGGAATGCGTGAGAGATGCTGATCTTATTTTATTAACCTATTTGTTTTTCCACTCAAAAAATCAAACTTTTTCTCTTAAATAAGAAGTCTCAGATTATTGGTTGCTTAGTATTTTCATTGTTTTTCACTTTACTTAATGAAGTCTTAAAGAAATAAAGTCTTTCATTTCACAATGTCGTTCTTTCTACAATATTACTCTGAAAAAAAAGCAGTGAACTCAACGTTTTAGGCAGCATACTCTGCATGTTGTCAGAGTACAGAAGAGCGTATCAAAAATGGGCGGAGCACACCAAAAGTGAGCGGACCTTACTGCCCATTAACTGACTTCCCAGGTTGTATTATAAACCTCACCAACCAATAAAAAGAGAGATTCCCTGCAAGGTGCTCCAGCAAACAACCCAGCAACTGCTGTCTTTCTGGGAAACAAAGGAAATGACCTTCAGCCCCAAGCCTACCTAAGGACACAGCACAGTATGATGGCGTGCCTGGGCACATAGGTGGTCTTCAGCATGGCCGGGGAGTCGCTGTACATGCACGACAGGAATGCCCTCAGTCTCATTGTCTTGTCCTCGGGCTCGCGGCCCAGCCAAAGCCGCTGGATAGGCGGTACCAGCCACTCCATGGGCGTGGCTTCCACTAGGTCTGGCTTGGGGAGGGTGGACTCCCGACGGATCAGCCACTCCTTCAGGACCACTTTGGGCATTTCTCCGCTCCCTGGGTTTAGAAGAGAATGGTAGGAAACCATGAGTAGAAACGAAAGCATTGAATTCATATGTTACCTTAGCCAGAATAATTTGTACCATAATATCAGAATGTGTGCTGAGACATAGAGTAAAACCTTGATAACTTGAAATTCAAGGGAACGAATAAAAATTCGAGTTATCCGGACTTTGAGTTAACGAAAGTCTCACAGCCACGGAGCCAATACACCATATACACATACAATGCATGTAGACATAATCATTACAAACTCGCTCCATGGCAGCATCCTTTTGGTGGCTATTTTCTGTTTTTATTCATTCTCATGGAGCAGTTTTTGCTCATAAATAATTGCTTTCCTAAAATCTTTCATTGTTGTTATCTCAAGAAGTTTTGTTTATACCAATAAATAAACAATTCGTCATGTGGAAAAATCTTTGTTTTTTTCGCCGATCACGTTTACAACATCATGTGTGCTGCAGAATTCAGGTTTGCTTTCAAATGGGTTTTCTTATGACATCACGTACTGTGGTCTCAACACCATTGTAATCAGGCAGTGTTTGGTTCGTCCGCACATTGGTCTTGAGGTAGTAATCAGGCTACCCTGAAAGCTAGGATTTGTTCCAGTTACAGTGTGGCATGGTTTATGAAGCGTGCTGTGCTACATGCGTACCAAGCAATCGGATCAAGAGTGAAAAGAAAATGTGCACTTGGCAGCGATGACTCAGAACAGGGTTTCGTGGTCCCGGGTTTGTACTGTTTGAAGCAATTTGGCAGCAGTTATTCGATCAGCGTCACAAAAACTTTGACTTAAAGCGGGATTTTGGCCACTGGTAATTCGGCTCAGGGAACTATTTATGTACACAAACACCTATTCTTTTGGCAGGAACAAAACATCACTTTTGAGACAAGTGGTCTTTCGACTTATCCGAGTTTCACTTATTGAGGTTTTACGGTAACACTAAATTTGAATCACTGGATGTATCCCATTTCAGATGGAGCAGTGGGTTCAAACAATGGGGGGAATTTTGACAGCAATTTCTAGCAAGACCTTATCCTGATTGGATTGGATTTGCTGATATGGGTGTTAACCAATTCCTGCCGGGGAGCCTGGTTTCAGGCGCCGTGTGTTTATACGCGTGGCCGGGGTCTCCGAACTCGGACAAAGGGAACTGGGCCTTGTAACAAAAGACTGTACTCAGAACAAAGGACCAGGCTGCTGGGCATTACCAACATTTTTTCACTCTCAATAGTGGAGATAGTCCAGCCTTGTTTTGAAACAATATACCATGGTTTGGGGCACTTAGTGCGAGCAGATTACCACCGGGGACAAAAGCGCTCCACCACCATAACGATGAGCCACACAGCACAGCTACACGCTAATCTGGCCCCTATTGAAAAGAGGTCAGCAGCACACAGTGCCAAGTTCGTGAACAAAAGAAAGTTACATAACACCGCACAATCTGGGCTCTGTTTGCAAGGTTGCAGGCCTGGCTGAAATACTCGGGCCTGAATAGATTTTGTCTGTCAGACTAGAGTGGCCACCAGACAGTAATTCGTGTGGGTGCAAACATCCATTAATTGAAATGATGAATTTTTGAAGAATTTTAAAAACTGAAAATCTTGGAAAGTCTCGATTATGTGCACTGCATTTTACAAACCACCCGGCAGCAAGTGGTTAAACAAGAGACATTCCGGAAGACGCTTTTAGGAACCTATATTATAAAGGTGCGAAACTCTTGAGAGGACATTGTGGGAATGGAGCTGATTCTCTGTACAGACAATTTCTTCAGAGGGACATTTCTTTGAAGTAAACCACAGATAAACTCACACAGGAACAAAGTGTTCAAACCCAGGGAGCCCAGGAGCGGAAGTGACACACTTCGCAATGTCTTCTTGGTTTACGCTCAGAAATTCCTCCACACAATCTTTCTCAAACGAAAGAGTTTTTTTTTAACAACAATCACTACCAAAGCCAATTGGTGAACAAAAATGAATTCTGCAGCGAGATTAGGTAAAGCAAGCACTCACCATTGACCTCCTTCAGATGCTGGCAGCTGAAGAGGATGCCGTAAACCTTCTGACGGATGGGGCGGAAGAGGTGAGTGGAGAGAGGAAACTCCCCGCTCATCTCATCCTCAAGGGTCACCCCAATCTTGATCTCACCCTGGAAAACGGAAGGGGGACGGGGGTGAAAAATGGCAAAATGATGTAAGCACACCAAATGGTCCTCTTCTGGCAGAATTTTTCAAACTCAAAATAACAACAGGAAAATTTAAGCCATCCGATCCCAGCAAGCTCGATGGTCAAGTGGTTAAAACGTCCGCACTAGTATGCACAATGTCGTGGGTTCAAATTCCACCTGAACGAGCTTGTTATTTTTTTGCAACTCTCGGACCACACTGAGAATACATTTTGAATATCGACAAGACCTAGTCTAAATTAACATCCCTAACACAAAGCAAATGAATTTCACTATCGGTCCAACGCAGCAGAAATTGTCGGACTGCTGCATACTGCTGGATAATCAGAAGAGTTAGAATTCCATCATTTCTGTCTGATCCCCCTTTCAGGATCCTTACCCATCTCAGAGCTTGAGCAACTTGGGCCATCATGGTCCCTGTCTCGTGCCGGTGCTTGGCTATCCTCAGCACCTCGGGAGCCACGAAAGGGAGGGGCGGAGCTTCCACCAGCAGGCAGGGGAGGACAGGCTGCTCCATCAGCGACGGGATGGAGGAGCGGGAAGTTTGCGTAGTGGAGGAGGTGTCCGATGACTGGGCATCAGTTGGCTGTTTTGAGGATAGACTACTGCTGGAGGAAGGTAGCTGGGGGTCCTGGACCATAAGGGAAAATCCGATTATTTTAATGATCAATAGTGGTGCTTGATTTTTTTTATCAAAGCCTTATCAACAAATGTTGCCATACTTATCATTAGAGAGATAATGGGGCATGTATTTGACAGCCCGACAGTAGCACAATCTAAAATGTTCATTTTTTGCAATTCCTGTTTGAATCGCAGTAACACGGACAAGAAAGCACTTTCTCAAGTCAAGCTCTCCAAGATTCTTCAACATCCACAAGGAGATTTTGGGAGGACTTTGCATAATTGAAGAAGGTAAAGTTTGACTGTTACTTTACATGAGACTTGAAGCACATCACAAAGAATCTGTACAAAGAATCTGAAATTAGTTTCTATGACAGAGAATCGGGAACATTCCCAAGGAAAAACAAGCCGAGTTAGGGCTAAATAAAACTCACCTGGGGTGTTTTACTACGTGTTGAGGTCTGTGGCCTGTGAAGAAATAAAAACATAGGGCCACAGTCAACACCTGCAGTAATTGACATGAGATCTGACAGAAATGTAATGCAGAGTGGTTTCTGGTGAAAGTCGCAGACTAGCCTGGCTTGTGCCTACCTCTGTGGACTGCTTGCTTTCCCTTCGGTCCCTTCCCCATCACTAGGGCTATCTTCAATGGTTTCCAAGGTCATATCCGCCATCCTCTTCTCCAGGTCTTCCTCCATCTGAGCGTGGATGTCATCGGTCAAGGCCTGAAAACAAAACAAGAAAAAGCTGAGCGACTGAGTGACATGTCAAGCCAGGCATCCATGTGCAGACCTGGCCAAACTGTTATGCATTTGCCATTTTCAATTTGGCAAACTTGTTTGCAGGGATGAGTCAGCCTGAAGGTCAGCTGTCGTGGCCTACCTTTTCTAGGTCTGACTGCGGTTGCTCAGGTGCCTGGACGACAATCTGTGGGGCTGAAGACTCCTGCTGAAAAGAGCAAAAAAAAGGGGGGGGGGAAATCATACCGTGAACATTCAAACTGAACTATCTCTTATTTCACTAGGAACTCTCTTACTAAAACCAGCCCTGTTCAGTATATCATTAGCACATTCTTTGAAACTTAACCCTGTAACCTTACAACTTCCAAGTGGCATCAAGCCCTTCTGTGATGTAAGAAAGACTTGGACCTACCTCCCCAACTCGGACACAATCTTTCCAGACTTGTGGATTTAGAAATGTCTGGGAAGTTTAGGATTAAGTGTTAGATCAAGAGATCAGTTTTAGTAATGTAACACCCTGAATGCTGGGTGCCAAGAGAACAAGAAAGACTGGATCCTTTGGTACAGTACAAACACTGGGGAGCAGAATTTGTCAACACAACAGAGCCAGACAATTTCAATTTCCAATATAATCATTTCCTCGATTAAAATAATCCCAATTTCAACCTCTAGAGTAGCATGAAACACTACCTATCGCTTGCAGAAAGTTTGTTAGATTTTATGACCTCAGCCCGGGGTTAATGTACCAACAACGTAATCCTCACCTGCACCTGTGTGGTTCGCGTGTTGGCCTGATTCTTGTGAGATACGTTGTTGTGGTGACCGCCAGAGGGATAATGACTGAACTTGGGAACTGTCACGTCAGATAAAAACCCAAAATATTACATGGGAATGACAAAAACCCAAAATTTAAATGGCGATACAAACTATGGCAAATTCAAACATGCACACATAAATTGCACATCAAATCAGACTGAAGTGTTTTGAGTGTTACTTTCACTTTAGAAAAGTCAAAGAACAACTTGCTTGCTCCGCAAACAGAAACAACAAATGTAAGAAATACGACAAATAAATCTGCCTTTTCCTTACAAAACCAAGAAATTGTTGAATAGACTGATACGTAGCAACTAGGACATAAATTAAAGCCAAGATTACATGTCTGAGCTACTACTCTCAGGCTTTAAACAAAGAGGGCAACATAAACTGGATTTTGGTGGTCGTATCAAAATGCTCACTGAGCAAGCCAAAACACATTGGCTTACACTTAGGAGGCTTGACACAATCCCTCTCCTGAATATTCATTGCACTCACCTTTGCCCCTTGACCTGCCCCAGGCCTCCCGTGTGCCGTACCAGTAGTACTCCACGCAGGCCTTGAAGCGGCGGATCTTCTCCTCGGTGCGGGAGGTGGAGTTCTTGAAGACGTCGCGGGCCACCACCTCCAGGTTGCGGGTGTCCGGCAGGTTGCGCACGTACTCACTGACGGTGTTGACGATGACATCCAGGGGTGGCAAAATCAGCTGCTGGGCCCTCAGCTGAGGTAGCAAGCGGGACAGAGAAATTGGGGGTAGCCAAAAATGAATATTAACTCTATTGTGGAATGCAGACAAAATTCTGTCAAAAGATAACAGGTTTAAACAACTTGATCTTTCTAAGAAAGATTTGAAGCAGAGTGTCTGGTTAACTGTTGAAGAGACGACCTCACAAAGCTAAGGAGCAAGAGGGACAAAGAGTTTGGTGTGAGAAAGGCTGAGAAAATTTGTTTTGCTGTCAAACGCATGATAAACAAATACCTGTTTCTATCCAGGGCCCAATTTCATGGCGATGCTAAGCATATCATTTATGCTAAAAGGGGCTCTGTGTATTTCATGGAGACATAAGCAGTAAGCACTGCAAAGGGCACGCTTACCTTGAGGGAAAATTTGCTTAACATGACAGAACAACAGAAATCTCTATGCGCACACAACCCTAAGCACATCCACGACAAGCAACGGCATGAAAAAGAGCTTAAGGTTTACAAATTCTACTGCTGTAGTTAGCAAGTTTCTGCAAACTGCTAAGCAGCTCCGTGAAATTGGGTCCAGGTGCATGTCTTTCTAGAAATTTTCTCAAACGATGAAATACCTGTCATAATCAATTGCATCAAAAAACCAATAAGAAGTAAAATCATGCTTTGAGACTAGTTACTGAAGAGGTTTTATCAAACTTCCATTATTGACACAACACCCACTTCCAAGAAATTTTTTAAAAAGGCTATAGCTATACCACAGGAAAACACACATTCAAAAGAACCAGGCTTTAATTCCTTTAGCAAGTTATTACAACAGTGCATTAAGGAGTGTACAAATGAGAACATTTGCCGCTTACTCTGAGTCCATTGAGGGGGTGATCTGGGCCTAACAGCGACCAGTGGAATAGGGCAAGATCTTCCTCAGTCAAAATGTGATTGCCTGGAGAATGAGAAAGGATCCACCGCAATGAGACTACCTGATTCACGCAGTCTGTCGGAAAATCTACAAATGTACGGCGGAAGTCCAAACATTAACTGGCTCACTGACTGGCAAAGAGTCTAGAAAGAAATCCATCACATTCCCTCAAACTGGAGTTTCGAGCAGTGACACCGTTAAAGTTGCCACAGTCCAGCATAATACCAACTTTTGGGGACCATTTACATAACAGGTTTTGCCCTTACCCAATATACATGTATATTAATAAGCACTGTATGCTCAGTGCTTGTCCGAGAGCTTGCAAAAAAAAACCGACCTCACAAGCTTACTCGGGTGGACAAGTTAAGGACCAGTTTTGAGGACCAGTTAAATTTCTCGGACTCAAAATTTTAACGTCATGAATTCTCATCCAGTGGTCTAGTCGTTTTTTGGCAACATGTGTAGAGCTGTGAAGTTAATTTGTGGCTACAGTAAAAATTTCTCATTCTGTTGTCTACGCTAAAAGTTCCTTACTGAAAATACCTCAAGCATGAAAGAGACTCTACCTTGTTTAAGTGAATTCTTCACAAGTGTGTCACTTCCAAGTGTAATCTTTTAATTAAATTTGTGAAGTCAGGAAAACGTGTCAGAGAAGCAAATCAATCTACCTTCAGCTAACACCAACTGCATAACACAAGTTGTACAGCAAAAACTGTCCACTGCACTGAAGTGGTCCTTAATGAAAATTGTCGTTTTAAACATGAAATTGGGCAAGAAAATTTGTTCAGATTTAACTTCATGTATGTTGACCCCCAAAACTAATTTCGTAACTAAAAGTACACTGTAAAACAAATGCTGTCTGTTTCAATACATTGTTTAAATCATGTCAGACTAAGGCCCTAAGAGTATTTTCAAAAATGACATTTTTGCTGTAAGACCTTTTAGCACTGAGCCGACAGTTCCAGCTTCTGGAACTGGAAGCTCTATGGTTTATAAAATTACATTACTGCTGTTAGAATTTGGGTGTTGGATAAAATGGAATATTTTCCAAAACCAACTTGTCCAATGTTGTCATCCGAGAAAGGATCCTCATCCCTCCACCTTAACAAGAAAGGAGGCAGCATCATTTCTAAAATGCTTGTGCTTTCATACCCTAACTGTCTTTTCTCAATTACCAAAAAATTTGGACCCTCCACATGTCCCCCATTCCCACACTGGGAGTGGATGCCCCAGTTTGGGCTGATGCTATAATGATGTGTGCCACTAGTACTGTGCTCAGAGTAACTTTAAAGGACTCAGGGAGCCGGGGGGGGGGTCAATGTTACACACATGGCCAGGGAATCAAGGTATTACAGAAATCTTCCTTTCCTGAACATGTCTTACCCAGCAAGGCAGCAAGGATGACCAATCTCTCTGGGTGCAGGTTGAGCGCCTTGGCCACCTCCTCCATCGAATACTGGACTGACAGTAGCTCCCCCTTCTTGGTCAGCTTCATCAGGTGGGAGGAGAAGAGCAAGGGTGGGTCAAACAGCGCAAACTCCGGCGTCTGGGCCAGGATGCCGTGGCAGCCGTACTGGCGCAGGTAGGTGATGACTTCGCGGGGGTGGTCCTGGGAACTGCACAGGGTGGTGACACCGCACTGTCGCATGGCAAGGCGCACGCAGGTATCTGAGATAACAAGACGTTAATATAAAGGACATAATGTAAAAGCTTTCGGTTGTAAAAGATGCTGCATTTGGCAGGGAAATGCTATCGTCTAATTCTGGTACTTCAAAATCTACAAGCTGTAGTACTTGATGCCCCTTGAAAGTTCTATGTATATGTCCAAGTACTGTACCACTGGCTTCCTTCTAAACCGCATTTTGAAGCATTCGAGAAGGTTCTAAGCGGAAATGTGAGGGGTGTATGCGTAAGTGTAAGCTTCAGTAATGGACAAGTGTTGGGACAACCTTAGCAAAGTAAAAACTGCTACCTTACTGAAATGCTACGGTACCTTAATGAGCAGCAGCATTACTGTCACCATGACAATGGTTATCACATGTTCTCTTCTAATGCATGCTTTTGTAAGCATACATAATATGCGCATGCATCAGGTTCTCCTTGCCAATAATTCTTTAACTTTGTTTACAGTTTGGTCTAGGACAAAGTTGGTTATTTCAAAAATGCATAAATATATGTGCAACAAATTCTGGAAAAAAGAAAACTTGTTTATATGAACGCCATAACCCAATCAAAATGTTCTCCTGATATTTTGATTTTAAAAGCTGTCCCGTATCTCGTCATGTGCTTCAGCACTGCAGTCGTATTAATTTCTTCTATCAATAACTTTCCTTCAATAAAAGTCATATTGTTTCTCTTGTATTCAGAGCCTGTAATGTCTAATTACGCAGCCCCGATTCATTAGCATTAATTCATTAGGCGTTAATTACGGCCAATTCCTGCCCTGCTCGGGAACGGCTACGACAACAGAGGAACACTGTCAACAACAATATGCATACCACTGCATAATGTCTTGACCTTCAGTGGTCACTGCTGTTGGTGACATGTTACAGTTTTTGGTCATGTAGTGTCTTACACGTCCTACATGTACGTGTACATTGTACATGTACTAAGGAATATGTAGGGCTAAGCTACCAAGGGTGTGTGTAATCAGGGTCCAAATTCTTCCATCTAGCCTGCTGTACAAGAAATTCTTGGATCCGCTCCACTGATGGAGTAATCCCACATAGCAAGACCAGGCTAGGCAGTCAAGAACTTACTGTAATAGGCAGCCCGAGGGGGTATTTTCTATTTTAAAAGGATTGAAAGCAGCCCCTTGTGCATTCTTTTTTCTCTTGCCTTTTGTGAATGGTGGCCCAGGGATGGTGGGAACAAGCCAAGAAATGGCGGCAAAAAAATGGAGGGTTCCTGTGTTCCAGTGCCAGCATAGCCAGGGATTTATTCCTCTGCTTTGGACAGGATGGCTGGGTCAAAATATTTCCTTGAAAATCTTGCTTGGAAAAACAAATCTTTATGTTGACAGAGCAGATACATGCACTGGTATCTCTGGAAGATCATCATTAATCAGCAACAAAACCATCAAAATCACCATACATCTGCAAATTCAGTGTTAGTCCGGAATCTTTAGAAGGGCTCTTCACAAGTATGTACATGTACGTGTAGACTTTTACATTGTTCAACAATTGGAAGGAATATCATGGCGGCTGGCTGGGTACCCAGGTACTACATGTACGAGACAAAACGAGACACAACAAAATGAGCAATAATGCACTCTTCTTATCTTTTAATACATACATGGAAACCTAGGGTTTAAAGTAATTTCTTTAACTTCCAGAACAAGCAGAAAAATTTAGGACCTTAAAACGTCCCATGAAATTCAGAAAATTGCCTTTGGTACAGCTAACGACCTGTTTGGAAAGCAAATTGCTGGAATGAGTATGTCTGTTTGAAACTGGACATACCGTATTTTTTGATTGACCTTGATACCCTAAGAATGAAAGAGATTCTGATTTGAAGTAAATCCTTCACAAAGAGTGTCACTTCTAAGTGTAATCTTTTTTTAATTCGCGAAAAGTTTGGGGGAAAAGTGTCAGAGAAGCAGATCAATCTACATGTACTTTAACCCTAACAGTACCGGGCATTGTTTGGCTTAGAGTACTCAGTACTACAAAATACTACGTAACACTCTAAGCCTGAAGGACCTAGCACTACAAATTACTATTTCTGGCTAGGTTTATTCCATTGTTACTTGTACAGAGAGCAATGAAACCATGCATTCATAGTACCACAGCACTGTATGGTACATTGTCTTCTCTATTGTATTTTATGGCTTCAGAGAATACTGTACATGTAATAATGTCATGTCCTCTTACAAACAACAGGGCTGAGTACTACATTTTACTACGAAGTAGAACTTTGTAGCATTTGGGACTGTTAGGGTTAAGCTAACACTAACAGCGAACACATGTCTAATGCAGCAAAAATTGTCTGGTGGTTGAAATGAAATATCAATCAAAGCCTACAGAAACACATGCTCAACTTTTCTAAACCAAATGTGGTAGCACACTTCCAGATTCTCATTCTCCCCACACTGTAATCAATATCCATCACCATCATCTAAACTAAATATGACCCATGTCCCAAATATCTGATTTCATATAGAAAAACAACGGCAACGATTCCAAATACACGGTAATTTGTTGTTTTCCAGCGAGTCCATTACCGGTAAGGACAGTGAATTCAATGCATGTATTGACTGATAGTGGCCCATGCCCCAATGAACTCCTCTCCCCATCCCATGTATTCACAGGGTGACCTAGATATTATGTAACTTAATGTGCACAGTGGACAGTTGTAAATAAATGAGCCACAACAATGCACCTGACAAGCCCATTCACAGGATCCTTTCTTTGTGGGGTTTTTTTCTCCCGCAGTTGCATTCTGAAAATCTTTGGCTTGTGGGAAGTTGCGGTATGCCAGGCCAGCATCTTTCATACATCATAGGCCATGGGCATAGAATGCAATCTTTAAAAAAAGCTTAAAAATGAATCAGGATGACAATGATCTGACCTGGTCATTTACAAAACATGCTCTGTGCAGCCAGAGCCTTTGGGTAGCCATGAAAGGATTTTACTCCCAACTGATTAGGCAAGTGAGAGGGTTTCCAAAGATGGAATCCAGACCAAAATTCCCAAGCTGAAGTCTCAGAGTGGTAAAAAAGACAGCACTGGCAAAGACTTTACAACTAGTCAAATTATCGAACAACGAACAGTTGTTGCCCTTTCTGCCCTATCAATTATTGCAAAGTGGAAGAACAGAACCAATCACATTTATCAACAATAACCAAATTTGGTACCACAAAACCCCCTCACCAAATGCTATATTTTTCATGAGCACTGGACAACCAGACAATGTTGTGACTTCTTTGTCTCACTCTCAGATGGACACTGAGGGGCCTGCAGCTGTCATTTAGTCTGGCACCTGTTCCTAACACAGGGACTCCATTGTTATTCAAATCATCCAGGGCTTGAGAGCCTATAATCACAGGACAAGGGACTACCAAAATGCATGTGTGTGACTAAAGCCAATACCGTGTTGCCTGCAAACACATAACAATTTGTACACTATCTGGTATGTACATGTACAGTGTACACGTTCTGCAGTGTGCGTTCTGCAGTGTGAATACATGTACTGTACATCATACACACTAGCCCTTCACAAAGGACAATGCAAGCTTGCCCAGCGCGCGCGTGGAAGCAGAGGGGGTTACTTGGCAGCGTGCCAAGGTCAATAAAAAGCGTACATGTTTGGTATGAGTAATTCTTGCTTGGACTAATTTAGTGTGTATAAAATAAGAAGGGGGGGAGGTTGAATTTAGCCTCCTGGGAGCATATCAAGTACCATTTGGATGGTTCCTTTGTAGCTATAAATAAACCTGGAGATGGTTGGAGTTTAAATCTGGCCCTGCTTTTGCCTGTATGAATCTGTCCTGCTCAGAGCTTCAGTTCAGGCGGAGAATAATGTCATCTTGGGGTGGAACACTGTACAATGCGGTTTTGGTTTTGATGCCCAATTGTTACGCCAGCTCTTCAGTCACAAAAGAAGACAAATGGCCAATTTTTTTTTCTATTTATGGTTTACGAGGAATGAAGCATGAGTACAGCGTTAGATGACCATGTGCACTTGGGCCAAGATGATAACAAGAAAATGGACACTCATATCAACAAACACAGAGTAAAATAAAAAACTAATTTACAACGGTATAGCTTGAATATCCCTGCATATCTACCGGTAATTAGCTGTTCTGTCACAAATTCTATATTGTATCCAGACAATCAAAACAATCCAATCGAGTCCAATTAACCAAGTAAATTCCTCCCGGTCAACTCTCACATTACATGTGGGCATGGATATGCTCCACACAACTGAAAATGGGTTTTTCATTACACAATTTCACACCTCAACATTTACACGTGAATCCAGCAAAAATACCAGATAAACACCAGTTTACAAGATGAAAACCAGTTTACCAGATGAAAACCATTCTAAGATAAACATTCTCCAACTCTGGCACGTTTTTCAAACTTCTCAGGAGACTACAGATTCTAAGACAAATTACTGAGTAAATAGGAAACAAATAATTTGCCAGATGCTGAACTGCAAATCATTCCAAAATTGCCGGAATTGACTGCCTATACATGTATCTATATTAAAAAATAACAGGCTGAGTATTCAATTAAAACAACAAAATAGCAAGATTTGCTGGTACTTCCAAAAGCAGAAATCGAGGCGCTACTTTGGTATGTATGAATCACACGAGGCATGTAAAACAAGTGACTACAGCGATGCTGTGGCAATGGCAACTTTGTCATTGTGCGCTTTGTTTTGCTCAGCTTTTCCCCTTTCTTAGTCATAGGATCAAATGGAGCAATGTTCATTAATCAGACTCCATGCTGAGCTCTTATTCACCATGAGTCCTCCCCCATCATTGTCATCTCCTAACGATGCAAAGTAAGCAAGGTGACGTCACTCCTGTCCACAAAGTCACCTCACTCCGGCGAGCCTCGCTGGCTAGGTTTGTTTACAATCCCATTTTAATTTGTAGTCTTTTTGTGATAGGACAGAATTTTCTTCCCTCAAATGTAGGTTTTGAATGGGGGTGCTTTAAT